GTTCCACAGCCACTACCACACAACCCGCCCAGAGCCCCACAGCCTTAGTCACAGAGCTGCCTAGGGAGGACTCTTGCCCAGCTTTGTACGGATGCCCTTGGCGTCAGTCATGTGGCCAGGGGTCACCGTTTGGAGGTCTGCCTGCTGTACTCCTGGTGGGTCTGTCCTCTAGAGTCCACGTGCCATCATCCCATTGCTCTTTAGGGCCTATATGTTCCCTGTGCAAAGTCTGCTGTCCCCAGTTACAGTTCACGACCCTTTGCAGAATCTCTCTGAATTTGTACAGCAACATTGGGGCTTGAACTCAGAGCCTTATTCTCTTGCTCACGGACTGCCTCCAGCCTGGCTTTCACTATTTATTCTGGGAATGGAATCCTTTAGGCTTTTCTCCCCAGAATGGGGTCAAAGCCTGCCAGGGCAGAAAAGTTAGTGAGACCCCATATCAACCAATAATAAAACTGGGCAGAATGATAAGTGCTGTCATACTAGCTACCAGGAAAGCTTGAAAAGGGAGATTAAAGTCCAGGCTGGCTTGGGCATAATTGCAAGACCCTATTTGAAAAAATAATGAAAACCAAAGAGGCTAAAGTGGAAGAGCACCTACCTGCCTAGCAAGCACAAGGCCCTGAGTTCAAATCTCAGCACTGCAAAAAAACACACAAACAAATAAAAAAACAGAAAAGAAACAAAACAAAAAGGATGAATAATGCAAAGACACCTGGCATGGCTAATATAGAGGGAGGCAAGTCAAAATACCGTGAGGCCTCACCTCACAGCACGGTGATGGCTGCTATTTAAAAAAGCCCAGCAAGCCGGGCGCTGGTGGCTCACGCCTGTAATCCTAGCTACTCAGAAGGCTGAGATCTGAGGATCATGGTTCAAAGCCAGCCCGGGCAGGAGAGACTGTGAAACTCCTATCTCCAATAAACCACCAGAAAACCGGAAGTGGCGCTGTAGCTCAAGTGGTAGAGCGCTCGCCTTGAGCTGAAGAGCTGAGGGACAGCGCCCAGGCCCAGAGTTCAAAAAAAAAAAAAAAAAGATAATAAGTGTTGGTGAAGGATGTTAAGTGGTGAAGGACGGTAAACATGCAGCCACCCTGAAATACAGTACCGTGATTCTTCACACAAACATAGAATTGCCATGTGATCCAGAAGGCAGCCTCTGAGCACACATATAAAAGAACGGAAGCCAGGCGCCGGTGGCTCACGCCTGTTATCCTAGCTACTCAGGAGGCTGAGATCCGAGAATCATGATTGGAAGCCAGCCTGGTGCAGGAAAGCCTATGAGACTCATCTCCAATGAATCACCAGAAAACCAGAAGTGGAGCTATGGCTCAAGTAGTAGGGCACTAGCCTTGAGCACAAAAGTGTGGAGGGAGACAGCACCCAGGCACTGAATTCAAGCCCCATGACTGACCAAAAACAATGAAAACAGAAAAAACCTAAAAGCTGAGAGGCAGCGATACAAACAATCATGTTAACATATCTTGAGCCACAACAGCACAGGGGACACAGCACAAGCCAACAAGGGGTGGAGCCAACAAGGCATAAACACCATGTAGTCTAGCCACACAATGGAATATTATTCAGCCATAAAAAGGAAAGAAATTCTCACACATGCTCTATCATGGCTGAGTCCTCAGGATGTTAAGCCAGGTACAGGAGGACAAAGGCTGTGAGGGTACACTTCCCTTGAGTCACCAAATTCATAGACACAGAAAGTAGATGTGGCTTCCAGGAGCGGGGGGGAAGAGGGAATGAATGAGGAGGGGATTGAACTCAGGACCTCAGGCTTGCTATGCTAGCGCTCTACCACTTGAGCCACACACTTTTGCTTTTAGTTGATTTTTAGAGAGGGTCTTAATGCTTTTTGTCCCACCTGGTCTCAAACCATGATCCTCCTAGCAATGCCGCCTAAGCAAGTGGGTTTACAGGTGTGAACCACCACACCCAGCCTAAAAACACTGAGTTCTCATATTCCTGACTATCTCAGTCAAGGACTCAAGACACGGGGAAGAAGACAAGAAGCCATTTTCCACCATAGGACAGCCCAGGGGGAAAGGAGAGAGGCTTAGTGAGTTGGCTGGACCTGACAGCCGATGTCCCATTGCCTTTGGGATTAGGCCCGCCCTGCAGAGGTTACAGTAAGGGAGAGAGTCTTTTCAGCAGCCTCTGAAACCTGGAGGAGGGGTGGCCAGAGGGGATGGGGCGGGGCTTCTCGACAGCCCTGGTGACAGGTGTTAACTGGGATTGGTACACCTCAAGCACTCTGCGATTCTTCAGAAAAGAGTACCAAGGGGCTGGGAATGTGGCTCAGTGGTAGAGTGCTTGTCTAGCATACATGAAGCCCTGGATTCCACTCCTCACTACCACATACACAGAAAAAGCCAGTAGTGAAGCTGGCTCAAGTGGTAGAATGCTAGACTTGAGTAAAACAAGTTCTGGGCTGGGTGCCGGTGGCTCACGCCTGTCATCCTAGCTACTCAGGAGGCTGAGCTCTGAGGATTGAGGTTCAAAGCCAGCCTGGGCAGGAAAGCATATGAGACTCTTATCTCCAATAAACCACCAGAAAACAAGAAGTGGCACTGTGGCTCAAGTAGTAGCCTTGGGCTGAAGAACTAAGGGACAGCGCCCAGGCCCAGAGTTCAAGCCCCATGTCCGACAAAAAAATGAAAGAAAGAGAGAGAGAGAGAGAGAGAGAGAGAGAGAGAGGAAGGAAGGAAGGAAGGAAGGAAGGAAGGAAGGAAGGAAGGAAGGAAGGAAGGGTCTCAACAACCCACTTGTCAGATGAGGACACTGAGGCTCCCAGAAGTGAGGTCACAGTAAGTCTGGGATTTGCACCCAGGTCTGCCTGCTTCTACACATTCACCAGCTGTCAAGATCAACCCTGAGCCCTGCATCCTGCAGTCCTGGCCGTGTGCCCAGGGCACACAGGACTGCTGGCCTACTGACATCTTCCTAGCCCCTGATTCTGTTTCTCCCAGCTCCCAGCTGCACCTGCGGGTCCTGCCACAGGCACCGGCCAGGCACCTTGGGCTTTGGGGGGAGGGGCAGGGCTGCCCAGAGCTCCCCGACTCCTCCAGGCCCTGCAGTCCCCCCCCACTCCCTCCAAATCTCCACTGCAGCTCTATGGTATGGAGCAGTGGGCCTGTTACTTGGTCCCCCAGCCTCAGTTTACCACTCAAAGTCACCAGGAAGGCATAGTGTTTGATGAACTGTAATACTCAACAGATGATGCTCTTAAAAATCTAAAAGTTATGGGGCTGGGAAGATGCCTAAGTGGTAGAGTGCTTGTCTTGCACGCATGAGGCCCTGAGTTCGATTCCTCAGCACCACATAAACAGAAAAAGCAGAAGTGGCATTGTGGGTCAGGCAGTAGAGGCCCAGAGTCCAAGCCTCATGACCAGAGGGGACAAAAACCTAAAAGTTAGCTGGGCACCGGTTGCTCACACCTATAATCCCAGCTACTCAGGAGGCTGATATCTGAGGACTGTGGTTCAAATCCGTGAGACTCTTATCTCCAGTAAACCACCAGAAAACCAGAAGTGGTGCTGTGACTCAAGTGGTAGAGCGCTTGCCTTGAGCTGAAGAGCTGAGGGACAGCGCCCAGGCCCAGAGTTCAGGCCCCACGACCGGACCCAAAAAAAAAAAACCTATGCCATGGTAAGCAGGACACCTGTGGCTCACACCTGTAATCCTAGCTACCCATAAAGCTGAGATCTGAGGATCATGGTTCAAAGCCAACTGGGGCAGGAAAGTCTGTGAGACTCTTATCTCCAATAAACCATCAAGTGGTAGAGCACTTGCCTTGTGCTGAAGAGCTCAGGGACAGTGCCCAGGCCTAGAGTTCAAGACCCATGACTGACAAAAAAAAAAAAGGAATCTCATTTTCCTGCCTGGGCTGGCTTTGAATGTCCATCCTTAGATCTCAGCCTCCTGAGTCGCTGGGATTACAGACCTGAGCCACTGGCCTCCAGCCTCACAGCTTTCTTAAACCACAGCCTCCCCAGCCCCCTCATGCCCCCAGGCAGTCTAGGGCACCAGGGAGACTTCAGATAATGGGGCAGGCTCTGCCTGGAAGCCCCAGGCCCAGCGGCTCTGCCACCTGTCTCTGCCAGGTGTGGCCCCAGCAGCCAGCAGAGGCCTGTGTAAGGGCAAGCTCTGATGCCAGGCCAGGATGCTTTAGTTCCAATACAATAAGTCATCTGTGCAATGGGAAGATGGAGGCCACCGGCCCCAGAACTCGGCTTGCTGATGAAATTAGAAGGAACAGAGTATCCACAACTTAGTAAGTAATGAGCAGCAGATCCACTGCGCCTCAACTGCGATCTGATGGTTTGCTTCTGCCTGAGCCCTCCATGGGACACCCAGCTCCCTGGTAACTCTTTCTGGAAAAGTTCCTTGGGATCTAACACCCAACCCTTTTGGGAAGGAGACCTCTTGTTCGTGCTTGCCTTGCCTGGGACCCCCTCCCTGCCGGTCCCCCACAGGATGACCAGGCCAGGAAGGGCAGGGCGATCACCGCGGTCCTGGCTTGGAGGTTGGCACCCTGGGGACGGCGGAGGTGCCAGGAGGGGTGAGGCGGCTGGGGGCTGGGTGTCACCTCCACACCGGTCCCACGTGGCAGCTGGCACGGGGAAGTGTTGGGCCAGAGGGCTGGTGGCACAGCCTGGCACGACAAACCAAGGACCAGCCCCCTTCTCCAGTGACTCCCTCCCCTGGGGACAGCACAGGTAAGGCCCCTCGGGGCGGCCTGCAGCCCGGCACCCACCCGAGGCCGGTCACGCCGCGGTGACTGACCCGCAGGACCCCAGCGGGGCCCTCGAGGTCACCGCGCTCCGCCCCCAGCCTGGGGGGGGGCGGCCGGCCTCTGCGTGGACGGGACCCGCACTTTCCGGGGGTTCCGGCGGCGGGTTTCTGGGCCACCCTTGCCGCCTAACCTCATTACTCGGGTCCGGCGGCGCGGCGAGGCCCCGCGGGGTCCGGGGCGGGCGCACTCACCTAGCAGCAGGTTCATGAGCACCTCCTGGCCGGCCAGGGTGCTGCTCTTCACCAGGCAGAGGATGGTGCCCCCGATCCAGGGGACGCCGTGGCCCGTGATGCCGATGAGCTTGACCATGGAGCGGGCGCTGGCCCAGGACGCGGCGCGGCCGGCGCACACGCCCAGCCGCTTGGACATGCAGATGTCGATGGCCAGCAGCGAGTTGAAGGCGATGCCCCGGAAGGAGGGGTTCAGCTGCATGCAGTCCTCCTCGGGCAGCTGCTGGGACTGGCCTCGCCAGCGGGCGGCGGCGAGGGCCCCGGGCCTTCCTGCCCGCGCCGCGCAGCTCCAAGGCGCCCTTGTGGGGCTGGCTGAGGGACAGGAACTCGGCCCGGTTGAGGACGTTGCCGCGATCCCGCGCGCGAGCCCGGCTCTGGGACGCTGGCATGGTGACCCCGCCGCCGCGCCCGCCGCGCTGCGGGCCGTCTCCCCCCTCAGCCGCCGCCGCCGCCGGCCTCCGGGCTGGTAACTGTAGCGGGGACGCTTACACGTGGCTGTTTACCTCCAGCTGACACCGGGCTCCGAGGGGACGGCAGTGCCCGCGGGCCAGCCAATGGAGCCCACCGTGCGGCGCCAGCGCCAATGGCACGGCCGGGCGGCGGCCTGGGCCTGGGCTATTTAAATCCGCCAATGGCTCGCGGGGCCCGCGGAATGCTGGGAAATGTAGTCCCGCAGCCGGGACCCGGCGGCCAGGGCCTTGGGCTATTTAAAGCCGCCAATGCCTCGCGGGGCCCGCGGAACGCTGGGAAATGTAGTCCCGCCGCCGGGGGTGGGGGTGGGGGTGGGGGAGGCCTCAGGCCCAGGCAAACACGGACACCTGAGTTCGCCCCTGGTTTTCTACGGCTGCCGGCTGAGCAGACCGGGCCCCCACGGACCCAGGCCTGGGCGGCGTGGATCCAGCCCCGGGGACTAGGGGAGGGCGGGGCCCGGGCCGGAGGCCTCCTCGGGGCACGGGACGAGGGCGTTCCCGACGTCACCCGGAGGCTCGGCGGCGGCTCCCTGGCCTGGCCGGCTCCTCCCCCGGTGGGGGGGATCCCCTAAACTGACAGGCCGGCTCGTCACGGTCTTTTAAAAGCCAGGCTTGAGTTGGGTGTCACGCATCACGATCCAATCAAACGGCAGTCCGGTGAGATTGGCTTTCCATTCGAGGGAGGGCTAATTAATCGGTCTGTCTCCCCGAGGCCGCCCCCGGGGGGCCGGAGTGCTCCTGAAGCTGCGGGGTAGCCTCTGGTTACCAAGTGCCGGGTGCTGTGCCCGGTGCTGTGCCGGAGCTGGCCTCCCGCCGGGCGCTGCGGAGCGAAGCCCACCGCTGGCCGCCCGGGCGATCGCCACTCACGGGGGATCCAGTGAAGGGCTGTGGATGACCGCAAGCGCCAGGAGCTACCGTCGATCACGATCGCGGAGCCGGTCCCCGGGCCGGAGTCATGGCCGGCTTGTTGGACAAGGGAGAGCACCGAGGGTGCCGGTGCACATCGTGGGAAGCCCCGGTGGCTGGTGCCCGGGGGAGGCCGGCTGGGCCGGGGCGGGGCCCCACGCCTGGGCACCCCAGCTACTCAGGAAGCGGAGGTCTGAGGATTGCGGTTCAAAGCCAGCCCACCCAGGCAGGAAATCCGGGAGACTTTTATCTCCAACGAACCACCCAAAAGCCAGAAGGTGGAGGTATGGTGGCTCAAGTGGTAGAGCACCAGTCTTGAGCAGAAGTAAATAAATAAACAAATCCTGAGTTCAAGCCCCAGGACGGGCACCAAAGGAAAAATGAAGTTGAGCTGGGTTCCCTCCCTGCCACCTAAAAACGCTCCTCCAGGCCTCTGGGTTGGGAACTGTCTCCACCACTTGATGGCAAAGCCCAGTTTTCTCTCCCTCCTGAGGGCAGGGCTCAGGTGAGACCAGAGTCCAGAGCCCTGTAAACGCACCAGCCTTGAGCAGAAAAAGCCAAGTGAGAGTGGAAAGCCTTGAGTTCAAGCCTCAATAATAGCACCTAAAAAGAATGAGGGAAAGAAGGAAGGAAGGGAGGGAGGGAGGGAGGGAGAGAACTGGCAGCTGCAACTACCTGAGTTAACCCCGGGCTATGCTGCCCCATTCCTCCCTTCTCTCTTCTAGAGAGTTCCACCTCATGCTAAGGAGGTAGAGGGAAAACTGTTCCACATCTCCTTCTTGTGTGTAATGACGCATGTAGTTCACCCTGGACTCCAGACAGGTGAAACCTGGACACGGATGGGTGGAAGGCAGGGAGGACGCTATGCTGGGACTTTGGCCTAGCTGTACTTCACCAGCATTTCCAAGGAGTTGTGATTGACCCCATTTGACAGATGAGGAAGCAGAGTCTCAAGCATCCATCAGCCAGGGAGGACTCAGCCCGTCTGAGGCTGGGGTCACAGGGGCTGGAAGTGTTGCTCAGGTCTCCGGGGTGGTCACCTTACCCTCCCTGGGTGGAGCCATGGCTGGAGCTGGCCCCAGCAGTGCCCCTGGGACTATTAATACTCAGAGGTACAGTCAGCATTTCACTCTGGCTCAAGTTACCAGCGAGTTCTGGGGAGGCCATGGGGTCTGATTTAGCGGCCAGCTGTGGCTAAGACACAGGCTCTGCAGAGATTCACACCCTGGCTGAGACCTCCAATGGAGCCATCACAAGTCAATCCTTCCTCCCCTCCTGATCTGTCTCCTGGAGGGGGGAGGGGCTGTGGTGAGAGGTCATGTGATGGCTCTACCCAGCCCAGCGTGCTGCATCAGCATCCCTGTGACCTGAGGCTGGCTACACTCTGGTCAACCAGGATGACCCTGGTCCTCTTTGTAGGCAACTTGAGAGGCAAGTACCACTCCTCAACCGTAGGTCTTAAAGGGCCCCTGCCAGAAACCCTCAGCCCTACTTGCTGAGTCTTCAGATTCATTCATTCATTCAATGCTATTGATCTCTCCCTGCTGCCCTGAAATTATCAGCTAGCTTAAAAACAGCACAATGTCACCAATAACCCTATTTTTTTCTCTTATTATCCAAATGCTGCTTCTTATTGCAAAGGATTTAATTAGCAAAGGATTTAATGTGGCTCATGCTTGTCATTCTAGCTACTCAGGAGGCTAAGATCTGAGGATCTTGATACAAAGCCAGTCCAGGCAAGAAACTCTATTTTTTTTTTTTTTGGATCCGGTTTTGGGGCCTGAACTCTGGGCCTGGGCGCTGTCCCTCAGCTCTTCAGCTCAAGGCTAGCGCTCTACCACTTGAGCCACAGTGCCACTTCCAGTGTTTTTCTTTTTGTTTATGTGGTGCTGAGGAATCGAACCCAGGGCCTCAGGCATACAAGGCAAGCGTTCTACCACTGAGCCACCTTCCCAGCCCCATGAGATTCTTATTTCCAATTAGATTAACCAAAAAAAAAAAAAACTGAAATGTGTCGGGTGCCAATGGCTCACGCCTGTAATCCTAGCTACTCAGGAGGCTGAGATCTGAGGATCGCGGTTCAAAGCCAGCCCGGGCAGGAGAGACCGTGAGACTCCTAATATGAAAACTTTCCCAGAGCATTTATGCCACTAAACACAAGGACATTATAAAGATATATGTATATATCTATAATATATAACGTAAATCCTGTGTGTGTGTGAGAACCCCCACGACCGACAAAAAAAAAAAACTGAAATGAACCATGGTTCAAGTGGTACAGTGCCAGCGTAGAGGTAACTGAAGCTAAGACACAGCATTTAGACCCTCAGTTTAAGCTGTAATACCAGCACATGCAGTGCTTGTGCATGTTCTCACACACACACAGGATTTACGTTATATATTATAGATATATACATATATCTTTATAATGTCCTTGTGTTTAGTGGCATAAATGCTCTGGGAAAGTTTTCATATTTCAAATATGTCTTTGGGTGTTGCAGTAATAAAGGCAACATGTTTTGCAAAAAAAAATTAATACAGATGATATTATAATCCTTCCATGAGAAAACCAATAGTATAAGGCAAGGGTAGCCAAGTTACAAAGGGATTCACAGTCTCATTTTTAATTATGGAACTATATATTAAACAAGATTTATGTATATCACACATATCCACACACACAACCACATATTAGAAAATACATCCCAGCTGGGCACTGGTGGCTCACACCTGTAATCTTAGCTACTCAAGAGGCTGAGCTCTGAGGATTGCAGTTAGAAGCCAACCTGGGCTGGAAAATCCATGAGACTCTTATTTCCAATAAATTACTCAGAAAAAGCTGACGTTAATGCAGTGGCTCAGGTGATAAGAGTCCTAGCCTTGAGCAAAAGACACTCAGGGACAGCGCCCAGGGCCAGAGCTTAAGCCTCAGGACTGGCACAAGAAAAAAAAGAAGAAGAAGAAAATACAACCACATTACACACTTTTTTTTGTCCATTGTGGGGTTTGAACTCTGGGCCTGGGCGCTGTCCCTCAGCTCTTCAGCTCAAGGCTAGCGCTCTACCACTTGAGCCACAGCACCACTTCTGGCTTTTCCTATTTATGTGGTGCTGAGGAATCGAACCCAGGGCCTCATGCATGTGAGGCAAGCACTCTACCACTGAGCCACCTTCCTAGGCCCCATTATACATCTTTTAAAAATAGAAATCATTCTTTTTACTTGATAATATAAACATTTCCACAGCCCCATTTTGATTGGTTTGGTTTAGTTTTTATGCCTGCACTGGGGCTTGAACTCAGGACATTATGCTCTGCTCAGTTTTTTTCAATCAAGGCTAGTGCTCTACCACTTGAGCTGCACCTCCACTTCTAGCTCTTTTGTGTGTATACCAGTTCTGGAGCTTGAACTCAGGGCCTGGGCACTATCCCTGAGCTCTTTTACTCAAGGCTACTATTTGAGACCCGGTTCCACTCTGTGTTTTTGTGCTTCACTGGAGATACGAGTCTCTTACTTTTCCTGCCCAGGCTGGCTTCACAGCCCGGTGAGTGGGTGAAAGGCTGGAGGGCAGAGGCAGGAGGGGCAGAGTTGGGGTCCTTGCTGGGAGGGAGGGCAGGGAGCCTGGTGGAAAGCCGTTTTCCTGCAGTCTGCTGTGCCTGGCCCTGGCAGGGATGGCTTTCTCTGCTCCTGTTTCCCAGGCCGCCCCTGGTTATTCTGGTCAGGGAAACCTGATGCTTCACCCATTCATTTTAACCCTTTGGTGAACTAACCCCCAGCGCTCATGATCTAGCCGCACCCAGTGGCTGTTGCCCCTGGGTCCCCCTGGTATGCACCCCAGACTGGGGCAGACCTCTTCCAGCTTCCAGGTTGAAACACTTGTGACCCCTATTTTGCCTACATGTGGGACCCTCACCCTGTTGAGGGGTGGCAAGAGAGGTGCAGAGGCCAGCAAAGGGGTGCAGAATGAAGCAGGCATACCAATGCTGGCACCTGACTCCCTCGGGGGGCCTGGCCAGGGAAGTGCAGTCATTG